ATCTTCCTGACCTAGCGATTGAACCTGCATCTCGTGCTTTCGCAGGCAGTTTCTTTATCAGTGCCCCACCTGGGAAGCCCTAAAGATGTGGACTTTTGTGTAAAACATAGTTACAGCACAATTATCATACCAAAAATATTAACCGTTCTTTACTATTGTGAAGCATTCAATTAGTTTTCAAATTCCAACAGTCTCATAAATATCCTTTTCCTCTTTGTTTTAAATCTGTATCTAAAATAAGAATCACATCTTGCAAATGATTGAATTGACTCTTAAGAGTTAAAAAAATTTTTTTTGGAGTACAGTTGTTTTACAGTATTCGTTAGTTTCTGCTATACAGCAAAGTAAATCAGCTATATGTATACTTATATCCCCTCATTTTTGGATTTCCTTCCCAGTTAGGTCAGCACAGAGCATTAAGTAGAGTTCCCTGTGCTCTACAACAGGTTCTCATTAGTTGTCTGTTTTATATATAGCAGTGTATATATGTCAGCCCCAATCTCCCAGTTCAATGGCCCCCACTCCCCCCCAGGTGTCCCTATGTTTGTTCTCTACTTCTGTGTCTATTTCTGTTTTGCAGATCAATTCATCTGTACCATTTTTCTAGATTCCACATGTATGTGTTAATATATAATAGTTGTTTTTCTCTTTCTGACTGACTTCGCTCTGTATGATAATCTCTGGGTCCATCCATGTCTCTGCAAATGGCACAATTTCGTTCCTTTTTATGGCTGAATAATATTCCTTTGTATATACATACCACTTTCTTTTCCATTCCTCTGTTGATGGACATTTAGGTTATTTCCATGTCCTGACTATTATCAATAGTGCTGCAGTGAAACTGTGACAATATACAAATAGCATTTCATTAAGTTCCATTTAAGTATTAAAAAATTTTAAGTATAAAAAATGTTTAAAAATCCTCCTAGGTCTTAATTTGTGCATTAGAACTTTCAAGAACATTAATGTTTGGCACAATATGAACAGAGAAGATATTGTGTTATTTATTATTGATTGCATCAGTTCAAAATGAAACTGTCTAAAACCATAGAAGAAATTACATGTTACTTAGTTTAGGGACATTCTTCTTCCCTAGCACTTGTTTTATTTATTTTCATTCATTAAATTAGGGGAAATTATTAAACACCTGAAAGTGTAGCACTGGGACATTTGCCACATTGAGTGGTCCCTGGGCCTTGTCTTCTGTCCCTCTTATACTGCATGGCAGTGAATACTGAGCTCAAGTACAAAATGTGAATAAATGTCCTCAGCACAAAAATTGCTTTATTAAGCTATATTTACCTCTTTGGTTATAGTTTTTCGTATAAACTTTGTCCTACAAGTACGCGTCTCCTCCCCTCCCCAATCTGTTCAGAAGGTGAGAAACTCAATGAAGATTAAAAATTTAGAGGAAACCAAAAAAGAAAGAAAGGAAACCTAGATAGTTACAAACATACCCGTTAACTAGGGATCTAAGATCAGGTATAGAACTCCAAGGCTAAAAACTTGAATTGTATTGCCCTTACAAGGGTTGATGATTGGACTACTTTTGATAGGAATAAACCCTTGAATGTATTTCCAGAATCATAGAAAGACCCCCCTTCTTAGTATAAGAGAATCTAGGGAAAACAAACCACTCACTGGTTTCGGAAAGGACAAGAAGGTTTATCTTTAGTCATGACTGAGCAAAAGGCTCAAGCATCCTGAGAAATTGAAGGATTGGACACTCAGTGTAATAACCATCATGAAAAGAATTCACACGCTAAGACATTAACGTAAAAGTATGCCCTAGTTGAGTAAAAACTTTGGGTCACCTTGCAAGAAACAAATGCAAAACCGGTCTGGACAATTCTTCCACACACAGGTGGGCAAAACTTCTACAGAAAAGAATTCTCCCTGTAAGGAAACAATCCACTATGAAACACAATTAAAAGAAACCATTTAGAATTTGAGATCATAGGAAAAAATGAAAGAGTTTGAAGCTTGCATGTTTAAACAGAGGCATCATTATGTAATACATATAAAAAAAGAGCACTATAAAAAGTAGATGGACAGAATTGAAAAAGAATATAAGGAAATATTTAGAACTGAAAACTAGTCATCAAAATTAAAATATAAGTCAACAGACAAAGATATAGACAGAATTGAAGATAGAATCAGGAGTCTCAATTCACTAATGAATGATAGATGCTCAGAATTCACACACATACAGAGAGAAATGGATATTAAAAGATATGAAAGGAAAATGAATAAATCCAATATATGATCTATAAGAGTTTCAAAATGGGAACTGGGTAACATTTCAAGATAAAACAGCTATGAGTTTTTCAGGTTTGAGAAGCATAGAGAATATCTAAAAGATTAAAATAAATCCATCTCTTAAATATAAAATTGAAGAACTCTAAACTACAGATTTTAAAGCGACCATTGAGTAAAGACAAACCTATAAAAGAATGATTATTAGACTAATGTTTACCTCACATTAGCAACAATAGATGCCAGACTGAGGCAGAACAGTATCTTCAGAGTACTGAAGATAGAACTTTTGTCATAACAGCTCTATCCAGTAAAGACTGTCATGAAAACAAAATAATCACATTTTCAGGCAGAATGTCTCACTTAAGAGATTTTTAAAAGCTATGCCTCTGGAAAGAGGGACTTGAACCCAGAAGGAAAGCTCAGAGAGTTTGATAGGGGATTTACACCAATTCTTGTATGAATAGATAATTTTATATAAGCTATTTCCAAAAATTAAATAAGTAAACTTTATGAGGGTAATCCAGCCTTGATAACAAAACTGGAAAGGGTGGCCCAGAAAAGGAAAGATACAGGTCAGTTTCATTTAAGAATATGTACCCCACAATCTGATACATTAATATAAAATACTTGGAAACCAAATTAACATATATATTTTTCATACGCATATACACATTCAAATGGATGTAAATGATATGTAACAAAATTCATCTAAGTGGTTATATGAGAGAAGCATTCCTTTTAAGGTCACGAGCAAGAGCGGGCGGATAACTGCCACTTTTTTTTTTTGGCTACATCTAAAATACATCCAAAGTTCCACTGCTGCACACTACCTCTACTGCTCCCTACCACCCTAGTCTGAGACACATCATCTCTCTCCTTCACTGCTCAGTAACCTCTCAGCTAGACTTCCTGCTTCTGTCCTTGCCTTCCTTAGAATCTATTCTTTACATTGCAGGAGGAGTGAGCCTATATTAATATGAGGCAAATCGTGGTACTTCTTTGTTCTAAACCCTCCAGCAACTTTCCCACCCACTCAGAGTAAAAACCATGGTCTGTAAAACCTCAAGGCTCTTCTGATCTCATCTCCCAGTATTCTGTCCCTTGCTTATTTCATTCCTGCTGTATTCTTCCCCTTGTTAAATCTCAGATATGCTAGACAAGCTTCTACTTCAGAGCCTTTGCACTCAATTGTTCCTTTTGCTTGAACCACTGCTTCCAAAGATCTGAAGACTTACTTCTTTGTCTTGTTAGTGTCTTTATTCAAGTATCTTTTTCTCAGTTTAAAATTTCTCCTATTTAAAGTCATAAAATACTTCCTTCCCTACTCTTTTGGTATTCCCTTTATTTCTTATCTATTTTTCTCAATAACATTTTCACCTTCTATCATACTATGTATTTCATTTATTTTATTGTCTCTTTTCCCATCTGGAATATGAGTTCCATGTGTGTAGGGATTTTTATCTATTTTTGTTAAATGCTGTATCCCCCACCTTTTATAATTAAACCTGGCACAGGATAAGTGCTTAATAAATATCAGTAAATAATGTAAGTGAATATCAAGAGTTTGGTAAGACTTTTTCTTTTAAAAGAATTTGTGTGTTACTCAAAGTTGGGAAATACTGATACAGATTGCTGAATAATATTGAGATGAGAGGCAGAAAATATTAGAGTAGTAAGAAATGCTCGTTTGGATTATGACTGCATCTTAATTTGGTATCATAATAATGATTTTTAATTCATCATGACACCTAACACTTGCTGGGTAATGCAGAAGTAACTTTGTCTAACTCTCGAACTAATAGGTGCACTTACTTATTGGTTGTTAAATATCCTCCTTTAAAAATAGATAAACTAAGGAGTGATTTTTTTTTAATATTTTACTGAACAATAGATTTAGTAATTTATTTCTTTACAAATCACTGTTGTATCATCATATGGTTTTAATATGCAGCATGTCAATTTATATCCTGTACAGTCGTTGTGATATATTCATATTAAGATCGTTTTCAAATGACATAACATTTTAATGATTTTTTTAAATGTAGATGCTTCTGTTAGTTCCTTTATGCTTTTGTTTGTCATTTCCTTTTTACTTACATTTTTATGTATTGCCAGTAGGTCAATGTCATTTCACAATATTTTATCACTTGTTTTACTTACAAGTAAGGTTTAGTCAAAATAGGATTAGAAACAGTTGTTTCCTTAGTTGTTTCCAAGTCATGTAGCACTCTGTGGCTGTTGTTTTTTCTCAACTCAACTGTTTTTTTAGATATTTCTAAAAATATGAAAATCTCATATATATTTTTATGATAATTTTTACTTTAAAAATTAATAAAAGTTCCTCACAGAATATTATCTCGTAGTTTATTTAGAACCTACTGTCATTTTTAGAAGTATACTTTTATTCAGCCAGCAGATACACAGTGAAAATCATTTGGTTAATGAAGAAAATATTAAATGTACTTTAATCTTAATTTTATAAGAAATAGGTATTTTTCTAATTTATATGGTAGCATTTAGATTAATAAAACTCAAAACTGAAAATTGCAATTGAATGTGCCAGAGTACTGTATGCAATATTATTTTGTTCATTTTCAACAGTGCTTTTAACTTACTATTCTTATTGCAAAGGATACTTTGTCTTTTAGAGAGTAAGATGGTATTATTTACATCAATTCATGTGGGTTTGTGAAAAAAATGCCGTGACTCCTTTACTTAATGGGATTCTTCCCCTGTGGCAGTGCAAACGGCTCGAGCAGGAGCTTCATCATCTGAAGGAGCGGAAGCAGACTTCAGCAAACAACATGAGACATCTGACTGCTGAAAACAATCAGGAACGTGCGTTGAAGGTAAATCTCCATTCCTTCTTGCAGGCAAATTAAGGTTGTAAGCCCTTGGTGCCAGCTTTCTGTGCTGCATATATCAGTTGTGTACATTTCAGCAGAAGTGAGCTGTGGTGTTTGCCAACAACCCCTTCTTTAAACACAGATACAGCACCCTTCTGTCACGGTATTATTTTATTTCGTGTATGTGTACATGAAAACAACATATTTTCTGAATTTCAAGTGGTGGTATATTAATAACTTTAGGTTCATGCTCATTGTGTTTGTGATTTCAAAGTACATTGTTACCTTTAGTAGTTAAGAAAAAGTGGCCACTCTGAAAGAAAAAAAAAATAATGGACTTTTTCTTTGCATCAGTAATTATTACAGTAATTTTCTAAATGACTTACAATATTAGTGACCCACAGAACTGACACTCCTTGAACAGTACATGAAGATGTTTGGGAATTGAAAGAATGCTTAAAATGTTACCTACAGCAAAAAATGAAAGAAAATATATTCTGTTAGAACTTGAAACAAGTAGAGTACATATCATGACAAAAGTTCTGTTTCATTTTAATATAGATCCTATAGTTATGAAAAAGGACATTATTTCAATTTAATTATCTTTTTTCTTAAGATACTTTTCATTCTCTTTTTTGTCTTTGTCCTGGTTCCTACCATAATGCCTGCGACATAATAGAGGCCCCTGCCCTCAAGGTGCTTACATTCTCATTAATGGGTTAAAAATAAAAACACAGCTTAGACACAGGAAACAAAAGGTTCATCGTGGTTGTTAATGGCACAGTTAAAGAAAGATGTGCTGTCAAGAAGATTGTATTGTACTTTGTTGTCTTAAATTCGTTTCTTGCTGCAGATTACAAAAGAACATCATGTCATTACAAGGGTAAGTCAGTAAACCAGAATCATCTACCAACATTGAGGAAAATGGTGACATTTGATGTGGAAATATTTTTAATCTGTTTATGAAGTATGAGGTTTGGTTGAAGACAGATTTTTCTACAAAGTATATTTAGCTTCATTCTCAGCAGTGTGTGTGTGATAGCTTTGCTATTACTATTTAATGCACTTTCCTTTTTTCTCTTGAATTTATAGATAGACTAGAACAGTAAATGGGAAAGAAAAGACTTGTAGATTGCTACAATTATTTTTCAGTTACCCCAAGGAATTTGCTATTGTATGAGTAAAATTAAGTATATAATTACTTAGATGTATATTTGCAAATCAAAGGTAACGTTCTTTTAGAGACAGCCTCCATCATGTGTGTTAGTTTATCAGCCTTAGGGGACAGGTATTATGTGCTCTGTTTGATATGGTTATCAGTATTTAAAATAGGACCTAAAATAAGAATTCTAGTTTGTTAAGTTAATAATAATTGCATGATCTTTATTCTGGCATTTTTGTTTGTATATTTATGTTAAATTGAATTAAATGATAGCTACTATGTGTGGAGAGAAAAAGATGCATAGTTCCAAGAGATTATTAAAATTAGAAGGCAAATTGTAGACCAAAAGAAACCTGTAAATTCAACACAAAAATAAACCCCCATAAAATCATTCTTTAGTTATCTTGTGCCATAATTCCTCATAGAAAACCTTTAAGTTTATTATAAAAATTAGGTCATTTATAATATATCTGCTTTATTCTGAATCATTTTTTTAAATTGTTCTTACCTTTCAGGGTCTTTATTCTTTATTTAATTCTTTTATTATTATACTTCGTATCTTTAAATTGCCATATAAGATATGGATAATAATAAGTTTATTACCAAGCTGTTTGGTGAACTAACTTTCTCCTTTCTAAGCAATATACTTATCTCTTAAAATACATTTGCAAGTGTCATTTTTGAAAAATGTTAACTGGCGATATTTGGCTAGTATCTAATGAAGTTGAGGAAGAATTTTTAAACAGAATCTCTGTCTCTAGTAGATTTCAGTCTGCCAATAATATTTCTAGTATTTTAACATAAGTGGTACTATTATTAATGTCACTGATAAAGGTAATATAAATTTGAATAGGATGATAGCTGAAGTTTTTGTGCTTTATTACATTGTATTATGCTGTAATTCTTAAAGGAAACAGTCCTAGAGATATGTTGGAAAAAATCAAAGTTAATGGTTCTACATTACATAGAACTTTCCAAAGTGACGACTGTGGGAAATAACATGATTATTATACATGGATATATTATATGTGGATACTTTTTAGTAATCTAGTGCCATTTGAATGATATCTTTGTTTATCCTAATAACCAGGAAATACTTTGTAAATTATTTTTTGTGATAAAGCATAAAATAAGACTTTTGTTGATCCTTAAATGCATCATTTTTGAAGTAGCATGGAATGGTGGTGGTTTAGTCACTAAGTCGTGTTCGACTCTTGCGACCCCAAGGACTATAGCCTGCCAGACTCCTCTGTCCATGGGATTTTCTAGTCAAGAATACTGGAGTGGGTTGCCATTTCCTTCTCCAGGGAATCTTCCTGACCCAGGGATCAAACCCTGGTCTCCTGCATTGCAGGCAGATTGTTTACCGACTAAGCTACAAGGGAAGTCTAAGCATGGAATACATACTAGCTAAATTTGGTAGCATGACACCGTTTCCCTATTTTTACAATATTTAAAGTTTTCCTTAATAATAAGTAGAACACAGTGATACATATAAGATGAAAGGCTAAATTTATACTGATACTAATCTATACCCTGAAAGTTACATACATTAAAAAGATAGCTTCTTCATTTAAAATAAATTTTATCCACTATTAAGAAATTTATTTCTCAATGAACACAATTTTGAACATCTAATGATTTTAAAGTAAATTTAGATTAGCCATAAATATTCAGGCATTAGATTTAATAAGAAATGTCATATAAACTGCCTTTCTTTCCTGTTTGATTTCATTTATTTCCCTTATCACATATCTTTAACCTCCTACAATTGGACTTCACCACTGTAATTCCATTGAAAGGCACTTTTTCTTAAATTATAAGTAACCTCTAATGGTTAAACCCATGAAACTTATCATTTCATATCCTGCTTAGTATCCCAGTAAGCCGAACTGGAACACATTTTCATCTTACTGGCCCCTGCCCTCATGAATTACTTTCCTATAGTTCTTTGCTTCCATATCCTCATCATTTTTCTTTTCTTTCATTGTTATTCTTTAGCTTGTGCCTCTTTTATACAAGTTCCTAAAGTATAAATATTCCCCTAAGTAATGTGATTCAGTTCAGTTCAGTTCAGTCGCTCAGTCGTGTCCGACTCTTTGTGACCCCATGAACAGTATGAAAAGGCAAAATGATAGGATACTGAAAGAGGAACTCCCCAGGTCAGTAGGTGCCCAATATGCTACTGGAGATCAGTGGAGAAATAACTCCAGAGAGTTATGTGATTAGTCCCCTACTTTTTGTTTCTTAAAAAAAAAAAAAAACAGATTTTTTATTTTAGAGAAGTTTTAGCTGCACAGCAAAATCAAACAAACTAGAACTCCTTCACACTCAGTGTTCCATACATTCAGATGCCCTCAGCATCCAGTACAGGAAAGGTACATTTGTTGCAATCCATGAACCTACATCAGTGTAACCCACAGTCTGTAGTTTACATTAGGGTTCACTTAGTGTTGTACATTCTGTTGATTTTGAGAAATGTAAATAACAAATATTTACTAATATCAGTGTAGTATTTCAGAAGAGTTTCACTCTAAAAATCCTCTATGTTCCACCTATTTATCCCTTCTTCACCTCAGCACCTACCAGCCATTAATCATTTTACTGTGTCCATAATTTTGTCTTTTCTAGAATGTCATGTAGTAGTTCTGTGCACATTGGTTTCTTTCAGTTAATAATAATCATTTAAAGTTTATCTATATCTTTTGATGGCTTTATACTTCATTCCTTTTTAGTGTTGAATAAATTTCCATTATTTGAATATACCACAATTTATTTATTCACCCACCTATTGAAGCACCTTATGGTTGCTTCCAAATTTGGGCATTTATTTATGAATGAATCTGCTGTAAGCATCCACATGCACATTTTTCTGTGGATGTAAGTTTTCAACTCATTTTGGTGAATACAAAGAACCGTGATTGCTGAATCATATGGTAAAAGTATATTTAGTTTTTGAGGAGATACCAAACTGTTTTCCAAAATGGCTGTATCATTTTGGATTTGCTAGTTCTGAATGACAGTTTTTGTTACTCCATATTCTTGCCAGCATTTGGTGTTGCAAGCATTTGGCTTGTCTTTTCTAATTTCATCTGTTCCTGCAACATCATGTCATTTACGTCCTCACGACTTCTTTGTCTGCCCTTCCACTTGGATATCTTAGTGTCTCCTTTACTTCAGTAAACTTGAAATGAAATCCTGAATTTGACTTCCTAAGTCCTCTCTTCAACCTGGGAGGAAGTTAGGACCTGAGCCAAACACTGTATAACTTAACATTTATTCTCAGTTATATTCTCCTTTGTTTGCCTTTACAGCTTTATAGAAGCTGGAAAAGTTAAACACTTTGTAAGCTTTTCTTTTTGCCAGTGAGACATAGGAGGAATTCTACAGCGGGGATGAGAGAAGAAGGAAGAATCTGTTTTATAGCCATGAAATTGGGGCTTCCTAGGTGGTGCAGTGGTAAAGAATCCACCTGCCAACACAGGAGACACAGAGATGTGGATTCAATCCCTGGGTCAGGAAGAGCCCTGGAGTATGGAATGGCAACCTGCTTCAGTATTCTTGCCTGAAAAATTCCATGGACAGAGGAGCCTGGCGGGCTACTGTCCATGGAGTTGCAAGGAGTCGGACATGTGCAACTGAGCACTGTCACACACAAACACACAAATACCAAGAGAAAAGTATGTTAATCACTTAGTCATGTCTGACCTTTTGCACCCCCATGGATGATAGCCCACCAGGCTCCTCTGTCTGTGGAATTCTCCAGACAAGAATACTAGATTATTCTTGGAAATACTTCTCCAGGGGAACTTTCCAACCCGGGGAATGAAACCACGTCTCC